CAGCAGTTAAGTTGACTGTGAGAGGAGGGGCAAAATTGCTCGGATTGTAGAGTTCAGGGGCTTATATGCATCAATTAGAGTCTAGGGGCTTAATAGCGATTCTGGGGTTGGTTCAGGGGCTTAACTTATGGTTTTGCCTTAAATATTTGTATTTGAACTACAGGCCATCTGTGTTTTTCCAGCCCATGGGCTAACTCATTTCTCCTTTCTTCCTATAATTGCCTGTGTTTAAAAAAGAAAGAAAGAAAGAAAGAAGAAAACTCACTTGAGACTTGCTACCATTGCAATCCGTCTCAATTCTTGTGTCTTCCCATTTTCATTTAATATATATTTTAGGTTTACTTTTTCTTTTTTTCAAGGATAAAATATAATATTAGTATAACTGTTGGTGGGCCTCATTTAGGTCCAAGATCATGCTGTTTTTGCTTTGTTTGTCGACTGGTTATTTTGAAGAAAATAAATTTAATGAAGTTTTTTTCTTTTTAAAAAATAGAAATATCCTTTTTAGTCCAAACTGCATACAATTGAGTTGTAAAAGTATTTAAATACCTTTTATTGAATAAAATTCATTAAGAGCGTTGGCACTTTCATAACCTGGATTGCCCAGATGGGAGAAAACCATTCCCTTATTAAAACAGTAAATTGTTATTAAACTAAGCTAAAATGCAGTCCAGCTCAAAATAACTGATGCATTTCCACTGAAAGAGTTTCCGGGGGACAAGCAATTTCCTGAAAAATGGCGACCAGACCAAACAGGACCTATGGTATAGATTTTTAAGTCTTCAACAAAACAGACATTCTAAAACTTCAGACTACAAAAGACGCTAGTACTTTGTCAAGGATCTATTTTTTTCCTCATGTTATCAAAGGGAATCAGGAATCTAGAATATGTCCTACAAAATTGAAAACACACGAAGAAAATTTCATAAATAGAACACCTGAATGATTCAATCGACAAAATATTACTAGGGGGAAACATACAAGTTATTCTTTTACTAAAGTGTAGAGTATTTAATCTAATACCAGATGCTTACATGGGGGAACTGTACCAAAGAGCAGTATCTATTGATCTTCATTGCCAGCTTGTATGATTAAACACCCACGTAGTTTTGGTCGGAATATTATCAACAACATACAGTCCACTCTCTGAAGTGATAACCGCGCTGCATCTGTAGTTCATCACATCTTAAAGAGTAAACTAGAAACAGATCCAATCTACACAAACTATTACTAGGGGAGATATAATCTATTCTTTTGCACAGGTAAAATATAGCAAAACTAAGAACTTTGGAGAAAATTGATGAGTATTGGTAGAACATAAGATGAGCACACCAAAGGGATATGAAGATAGTTGAGCACAAGAAGACACAAAGATGCTTCTAAGAAGTGATTGCATTCATTCAAGATAAGGCGTACACCGTAGTTTGAGAATCCATATGATGTTATTGTATTAGGTTTATGTTGAAGAACTTGAGTTTTTTCCTTGATCCTTGTTAGTTTATTTGTAATTTTAGCTTTCAACGTATAAAGTGTAGAGTTTAGTTTCTATTTGATGTAAACTTGACATACCAATCTTAGTGGCACGGTAGGTGAGCTACTCTACTTTTTTGATGTGATCTTGATGTATTTAGTCGAAAATATATTTGTCAACCCCTACTTTGAATACATATCTGAAAATGAATGGATGAATGAATGAGACAGAGCTCTAGGAAGTTACAAAGCTTAGAACTTAGGAGCCATTTCCAGAATCTTCCTTCCATTTTCATTCAATTCCAGTTAAGGTTTTACACCTTCATTTCACCTAATATTTTACAGTTTAGGTTATGCTATGTTGTCTGTGAGCTTAATACCACTTCCTCTCTAATATTTCTCTTGTTCTCTGCCCTATTTATACCTACTACGGTTCTGATCCCCCTTTCCCTCTAAACTCTCTCTGTTTCTTCTACTTTCCCTTTTTTTATTTTTTTTTTTTTTTTTTTTTTTTTTATCTATTTCTCCTTCTCCCTCTATTGTCCTGCATAAGATCCACTATTGCCAACACATTATTACCGTGAATGTGATTATGTGATCATGCAGTTGAAAAGGTTTTCTCCATAATCACTATAGGCCTCAAAACAGAGGACAATCAGACTGCCTCATAAGCCAATGAATGATCATAGAAATTAACTACAAGATTTCAAAGTGTATCCTTCCCTTTTATGAGTTAGGATCAATTTACACACATTACTTATACAAAATCATGGCCATTCATCTCTCAATTATGAATGGCTGAGATTTATCCACTTTTTATCTTATTTATTAAAGTTAATTGTTTTTTCATCTAAAAAGTTGTGATAATGAAAGGCTATGATTTTGTGTAAGACTTTTCTTATGTGCAAGAGGATCCTAACTCCCCTTTTATTATTTGAAATAACCACATCTACATAATAAACTGACCGCCAAGTGAATGGAATTATTTATTCAAAAGAAGAGAAGAAATCATATCAGAGGGAAGGAACTTACGGGTATTTGGAAATGACTCCATGATCTACAACCCCCTCAATTTTATTGAGGCTTTCAGTAACTTCAGCTGCAAAAATTTACCGAGGTCACTAAAATCATGTGGAAGAATGAAAAAGAAAAAGAAAACATTATCACAAGGAAAACAAAAAATGATTTTCAAACATACCAAGGCTCTTTATTGGAGAGGTAAAGATAACGTCAAGAATATTATGACCCTCTCTAGTGACTACTGGAAAGTCACCTCCAAGAGGACCTGCTTGCCCTATGGAGGGTCTCCTCCATACCTTCATTTGCAAAGTAAAGGAGGGATAAGAACCAAAATAGGTGATGAATATTTTTTCAAAACAAATGAATCAAATGACTATCATGTACTTGTTTCATCTTTTATAGTATGTTTGGTTTGAAGGAAACGGGGTGGAGGGGAATGAAAGGATACGACATCCTTCCATTTCCCTCCATTTCTCTTCCCTCCCCTCCTCTCATTTGGATAAGCCCCCCCTCCTTTCCAAACTTTTTGCTAACTAGAGAGAGGAGTTTTCACCCCTTTCCTTCCCTTCCCTCAAACCAAACATACTATTAAGAATTCAGAATGGGACAAGACCAAAAGAACTGCAGGCGCTTAATTACTCGCTGTCAAAAAAAATCAAATAAAATAGAAGGAAGAAAGGGCACGATGTCATGCTTTATTGAGCTGAAAGAGACAACTATATGAGAAGTCAAACATAGTAGGATTTGGACTCTTCTGCCTTTGAAACCTGATTTTAAAGAGAAAAGGGAAAGCTAAATGTATAAAACCTAACTACCAAACATTTATTGAAACATCATAGATACAAAATTTATTAACCATAAAGTAGTGCAAAAAATAATGCATACAAAAAAAATTACAATTTCAAAGTACCAATCCCAACCAAGCCACCAAATCCTGCCCAGGGAAAACTTTCCCATCAGGCTCCCAGGAAGATGAGGATCAGGATCAGCACTTCTGCATCCTACTAGAAACACATTATAGCTCGACATGAAGACAACTAATATTTTTCTCCAGCAACATCCCAACATCAAGTTTCTTAGCCAGTATTTCTTTTGGCAAAAGAGGATTGTCCAACCACATAAATATAAAACATAATCATGGCTAATTTTTCCTCTCCAATGTGTTGAAAATATAAAAGGTTCCTGAGAATAGAATCTAACTTATTCAAACCACACAAACGCCAATTTTTTAAGGGTAAAAAGGATTAAACTTAATTCTTCATCTTCAGCAATACAATAATAAAATGTCTTGTGAAGAGCAGCATACCTCTGCATCACCTAAGTAGAAGTCTTCAATATCTTCAGCTGTTTTCATCCAGTTGAGCTGCAATACTTGTGATTATTAATCCTTCTTCTCTTCTCTTGCAGGTAACTTCTACATATTTACAGACCCAGTGTTTGTGCTACTTACAGATTGTATTAGAACAGGAATAGAACCATCTAGAACACCTTTATATTGATTTTCTGAGACCATGAACACAAGCTGATCAGCTGCATTTAGTATTGACTGCAAGCAAAATGATTAACTCAGCCTATGGTAACAAAACCTCTAGAAGAAAAAACCACATGATTCTACAAACTCAGTATAATAATGTCACAGAGTATCATACAGCTCACATTGTCTTCAACAAATTCTCATGTCATGGTTCTCATCTTCCATTAGAAAGCTACAGAAACAGGACATTGAAATAGTAGACTCACCTTTTCTTGGATTATGGACTCCTCACCTTGCAATCTTTGGCGCCCAATGACTGCAATTAGTGTTCCTTCCTCTATGATATCAACGTCATCAAATGCAAAATCAATCTGCATAAAGCAACTCAAGCCAGGTTAGTAAACTTTTCAGTCCTACCATGGTACTGTTCAAATTTCATCGTATTATGTTGAATACATTCATTCAGAAAGGACAACACAAGCACAAATTGAACTGCTAAAAACAAAGACCATAGGTAAAGCAATGTGCCAATACCCAATAGAGATGTGTGTTTCTATAATTTTTTCTTGGGAACTTTCTAATTTTGTATCAAATTCTACATATCTACTGGAAAATACGACACATGAAGTTTCAAAGCCTAATGAAGAGGAGCGGTATAAAAGAAGTAATAACAGTCACAAACCCAAAAAAGAGAAATTGTAGATGATTATAGTGTGTGCCCACTTGAGAACTATCTTGATAGTCCACCAATGGAATTCCTGACTTTGCTGCCTCACTTGCACTCACTACAGACCTGCGTAAAACCAGGGCAACTCAGGTTAAACATAAATAAAAGTAAAAAGGTTTCATGTGACAAAGCCAATAAGGCAACCAAGGTAAGAAAGATAAATTCTTTAACACCTAATTTAAGACAACAACCAAAACAAAGAAGATGAGCATCTAAGAACATTAAGAAACCGTTTAAAGCAAATAGAATAGAATATCATAGGATGTTGGAAGAAGTTCAGGAAGGAAGGAAAAAAAAAAAAAAAAAGAAAACTATTGCTCTTTGTCTTCACCATAAAAATCAGTTGAATGCTATTGTCCAACTGTTCTATTAATTACTATTTCAGCTGAACTAGTACAATTCAAACAAAACACGGACAGGAATGATCGTAAATAAATACTCCGTAGATAAGATTGATCCTTTAATTAGCAGTGCAAATGAACAGAAATTGAGAAAAGTATCATTAACATGAAAGGAGAGAACAAAAACTCACGTAGGTACCCCTATTATGTCTTTTAAATAACCATCACGAAGTTGCTGACCCAAATATTGTATAGCCATACCAGAAGCCTGACCAGACCCTAGCCCAATAACCATTCCACTCCTTACAAATGCATCCACCTGCGCATACAAAAAGATAGAAAGCATTCTCTACATAAGCTTTTCATGCATACACGCATTCAAACAGCAGAATAAGCTAAGGTGAGACTGTGAGAGCATAAAAAGAACAAATCTTTACACATGCCTTAGCCTCCCCACAACCCATTTTGGCTTCCCTATGTCATTGTACAATTTCCCGCAATTACCTTAACAAAATTGGAATTTGAAAGAATTCAAAATTGTCATTGATTAACTTTGATTGCCATTCATCTATCTCCACAAGTAACAAGGATATAAATAAATAAAGAAGCAGTTGCAGGTTTTGGGGTTGGAGTCGGGCAAACAAGAAGGTGAATGCATGGAATTATGAAGATAGTTGAGAAGAAAGCATACGGTGTGTCTGGCTGCAGCACGGAGAAGAGGGGAGGCATCGGAGAGAGAGCATGAGGGAGAGATTGGAAGGGAGTTGCGGAAGCGTTTGGTAGGCTTGAAGCTCAAGGGTAAAGTGAAACGGAGATGAGGAATTGCTGACACCATTGTTGGGCTCTCCTTGGTCCTTCTGTTTTGTTTTCTTATCCCAATTTCATGCTACTGGTTTCATATGGATAGCTGCTGTTACATAGAGATCATTTTTTAAGTACAGAAGCGGTTCGAATACAGAATCCCCCGGTCTAAATGGGTGGATGAGGGGGTGGAGTATTTTTGGTTATAGGTTGGATATAAAATACATTTGATATTTAATTTAAAATTTTTAAATATAATTGTTTTAGATTTGTTACTTATTTAAATATTTAAAAATTTATTATTGATACTTAACTGATATAGTTTACAGGTATATATTTATATATAAATTGGATGATATTTTACTTTAAATTTTTTTAAAATTAAAATTTAATAAAATATTATTTACTTTTAACCTACACTTAAATAAAATTAATAAAAATTTAATAAACTATTATATATTACTATCTAAATTTAAATATAATTTAAAATAACAATAGATAATTAAATTTTAGTTTATATACAGAACTCAAATTTACATATTATTAAAAAACTAAATTTAGTTAGATAATTAATAATAACAAATAAAAAATATGTAAAAAAATAAATTAAATAAATTAAATAACAAAATAAAAGTATTTTAAAGAAGATGTTCTAGTTTTTGGATTCATATTTCATAGTCCTCTTAATCCTTTGCTTTGGTTTGTTAAAAAGAGATAGTGATCAATGGTATTGTATTTGTTTTAGCATCTTTATGTTTATATTTTTGACCTATAATTCTTATCTTATTAAATTTGAAATTTAAAATTAAAAAATTATCTATACAATAAACAAATATTGTAACTCAAAAACTATTAATAAAAAAAGTAAAAAGAAAGCTAAAAAGAATTATATTTTCAAGTTGTATGTACTTACTATTGCCAATGAATGTAAGGAAGGGCACTTGACCTTCTAAACCAACTAACTTGTAACCAGTTTTGAAAGTGTACTTTCACCAATATGATATTGATTCAAAACTTTCTATCCTCTAAAATTTAAACTTGTTCAAAAAATAAAAAATAAAAAGAAAGCAAAGAGTGCAAGGAAGGGAAAATGTTGTTGGTTACATATATAATATGTGATTAATTTAAGATTTATTATTGATAAATTTTGTGTAATTTTTTTATTTTTTATTTTTATTTTTAAAAATTATTGTTATTATATAGATATTAAATATAATAAGTATATATAAAATTTCAATTGTATAAATACAAAAATAAAAATGTTAAACATGTTAGGTAAATAATTTTAAACCTTTATACTTATTAATTAACTTGATACTTATAAATATATTATTTTTATACTCATTATTTATTTAATTTTTTTACAATTTAAATAAAATATATATCTAAATAGATAAAATATTTATAAATAATATATATACATTTACCCAATGCCCAAAACACATATTAGTTTTCTCAAACGATGGATTTATACTTTGTTGAAAATGGTGGGCTTGGGCTGCTGAGCACTCAAAAAATCGCAAGTGCATGCTGCAAGGGTGGTGATTTATTGGGTTTACTTGAGCCTTATCCATTGTAGTAACAGATTGTTTTAGTTTTAGGGTTGACATGGGCTTCATAGTTTAGACTTTAGAATCCCTTTAGTACTTAATGTTTTGGTTTTTAATTTTATAATTTTTCTAACTGTTGTGTTTTTAGAGATGTAATTAATATATATTTTTATATTAATTTATATTAAAAATGGCAAAAGATGATATTAATTTTATCACCAATGTCATATAAACAATTTTAATTCTCAATTAATTGAATAAATGTTAAATTTTATTTTTTTTCAATTTTAATTAATGTGAAAAATGTGTTCTTGAAAAAACCCACTTAATTTTATAGTTTTTAAAATCAAAAAACTGTTCTAGATTATTCAATAGTGATGGTTGAAGGGCAAACTACCTAATATTAAGAGTTTTCTTTTCATTTAACTATTTATATTTTACAGTCTGATATAGTATGGACTAAATATAAAATTTTACTTTGTTTAAACTTTGTTTACAATAATTGTTACAATAAAAACTAAAAATGAAAAAACTAACAACCTTACCAAATAAGATTTAATTTTCATTGTCATTTAAGTAGATAAAATAATATGTAGCTCACATACTAGACTCAATTGAGATTATTCCCTCCAATAAATTTGTTAAGTTCATCGATTTTTTTTTATAATTTTATCAATTTATAATTTTTTTTTTCTTAAATAGTTGATTATGATATGACAAGAAAGGAAAATACATAGTACAGACAGCATCTAGATATCCAAATTCAGAATCTCACAAAAAAAAAAACACCATTGATTTTAAACTGGTTTTGGACAACAGAGTGCCCCTAAAGGTAGCAGCATTCTCCTGGAGAGCCCTTCAAGGCCGGCTACCAAGAAAAACAAATTTAGTTAAGCAAGGCATTCTGCAGGTGGGTCAGGATTCTCTCTGCACTCTGCAGCATGTGTGGAGACTGGAGAAGATAAAGAAACTGCTGATCATTTCGCTGACTTCCTCCCTGGAATTGTGGAAAATGTGGTCCTTATGCTATGACTGGTGGGAATTAAAGGTGGCAGCTCATGGAAGTTGTGATGTTCACCTTCTGCAGCATATAGGTTAATTTGGTCCCAAAAGGAAGTCTAAGAGATGCCTGGACAGTTATATGGTTCGCCATGGTATGGTCAATATGGCTTTGGCGGAATCAAAGGTTATTAAAAAATGAGGCATTGTCCCCTGGTGAGGTACTTGATCTGATTAAGTTTATGGTTGTTTCATGGATAAAAGCTAAGATAGGGACCGAGAACATTCTTATGGCCTAATTGTCACTTTATCTTTGTAAAGAACTTCTCCTGCTATGATTTGACGACATGGGTTCTCAAGTCTTGCTTGTAATATATGTATATATTTTTTAAAAAAAGAGCTAGGACAGGGATTGACATATTAGACTATTAGAGGGGCTATGGCATAAAAATCCAAGGGAGGCGCTGAACATAGTACTGCCTTGAATCCAATTAAGATGTTTGGTTAACTTTCTCTATTATAGAAACTGTTTCAAATTTAGGAGCGTTTGGGCTTGAATGCATTGGACGTGGAATTGATACTTAAGTTTATTGTATAATGGGTATGGTACCTTTTTCATTTTTTTTTTTTTTTAAACAGTGAGAAACTTAAGTTTTTATCCGGGGGAGGGAAGGGACTGGAGATTTGATCTCAGGTCTCATTAATCCTACGCACGTCCGCAAGGGAGTGGCCAATAGGTCACCATGTGCGGGACACTTTTTGCATTTTAATTAATAAAATTATTGTTGATAAAAAAAATTAATATAATATTTAAAATTTTATATTTATAAGTTAATTTTAATTTATTAAATAATCAATATTAATTATTTTTAGTAATTAATTTAAAATTAAAATTTAACTAATTTTATGACCCTACAAAAATGATAGGAGCCATAACCATAGCCACTGGACTCGGACCATGGAAATGGACCATCATTGTAGATCCATTTTCCTCAGCTGCTCGGCTTTCTTTTTTCCCTTTTTTTTTTTTTGAATTGGGTAAATGTTGGGGATTTTCAGGGAATGAAGAGAACTTGAATACAAGTTCAATAAAAATTTGTGTGTGGGAAGTTGCTATTTGCTCCACTCAGAGATTTTTTATCTGCTTGGCTTTCTTGAGTACTCATGACTACACATAATGCATTTTGTATTTTCAGCATTAATACTTTAATGTCACCACCCTTTCATCATTACCCAAAGGACTAATATATGGCATGTGGGAGAACGGTGCACACAATCAAAGGAATAAAGTCAAAGTGGAAGAGGCAATGGATTGAAATCCAAGAGAAAGTGATCCTTATGATTGTGGAATCACCCTCTTTATTAGCCGGTGGCTCGTTGTTGTCTTTCTTAACGACTATATTAGTAGTACATATTTTTTAACGGTCCCCATTTTTGGCTAAAAGAAAAAGGTCCTCATGTGCCTTAGTGGGTCATTATGCGAATATGCAATAACCCTTGTCCCACACCTTGCCACCACAACAGTTTGTCCAAAAAAAAAAAAAAGACATATACCATAACTTTTCCAAAAACAATGATAAATGTGTGATTGAGATCTTTTGTATTATCTTCTCCTTTAGAGTGGCTTAAACACTAAATTATGTTGATGTTAAGAGTTTGGATTGGAATTCTATAGGTAAAGAGCAAAGTAAGGATTCGAGTTTATATATATATACATAAAGAAAAAAAATAAGACACTCATAAATGCACCCTTAATTAATTGGGTTGAGTTTGATAAGATATTTAGATTAATCATTTTAATATAATTAATATTCGATAATTTAAAAAATATAATTTATTCAGTTAAAGTAAATAATTAAAACAATAATATAAAGATAATTTTTAATATAATTTTTATATATTATTTAATAAGTAAACATTTTTAATATCATAAATTTTGAATAAATAAAAAAATTAATTAGTTAACTGATATGTTAAATTGAACTAAAAAATGATACAAAATTATTCTTGAATTATTTTTTTTAATAATAATTATTTATTTTTTAAACTCTAAAACAAACACCTATAGATATTATTTGAAACTTTTTGCTATTAATGTTAAATGGGAAAACAGATATTATTGTTTGGTGAGCTTAGAAAATTAGGTTCAAGGAGTTAAGGATTTTACCTGAGGAGCAGAAAAATATTGAAAAAACTCAAAAGGGGTTTTAGGGTGAAATTGAAATACACATATTTTACTCTTGGGAATTACATTATTAAAATACATGTATTTCATCCAAATTTAATTACATTTTATTTAAGTAAAAACAAACAATGAAATTGAATTTGAGCACTCCAAATTCAAATATACACTGCAAAATTCAAGTTGCCAAATAGAGCAAAATTGTTTTTGGTAAATTTCACATGGGTGGGGTAGTGGGCACGGCTCTTTAGTGGCGAGAGTCCCCCGTCCCTCCCCCCGTCCCAATCCCACCGTTCCTCCATAAAACCCCATTTTTCTTTTCTCTCTCTCTTTTTCATTTTTGATTTGAGTTGTCAGTCTGTCAGTCCGTCATCACGGGCTAAATCTAGAAAAAACGACACCTTCAGGAAAAATTGTAACGTTACGTTGCACACAGCCGCCAATAAAACCAAAAAAATCATTCACTTATCCAGTTATCCCCTCATTTTTGGGTCCATAAAATTTGTCCAAGTCCATTTTGTTAGTATTTGCTGTCTCTGAATTAAAATTAATTCTCACATATTAATTTTTTTAAATAATTTTAAAGGCATTATAAGATTTAGTGTATTTAAATTTAAAAATATCTTTTATTAAGAGTTTCTTAACTAATTTCATAGAATAA